TGCCATGACCACCAACCACAGCCACAGATTACACCACTAACTACACCTTAGTTAAGTGGGGCTCTGTTGATAGTCCTCATGTAGAAGTGCTACTCTAGTTCTTCACTGTTCCTCTCCTGGCTTTATTATCATTAACTGTTAATGTTGTCACTATGGTAACTGGTGGTGGTGGTGTTGTCACCATGGTAACTGGTGGTGTTGTCACCATGGTAACTGGTGGTGGTGGTGGTGGTGTCACCATGGTAACTGGTGGTGGTGGTGTCACCATGGTAACTGGTGGTGGTGGTGGTGGTGTCACCATGGTAACTGGTGGTGGTGTCACCATGGTAACTGGTGGTGGTGGTGGTGGTGTCACTCCTCCAGTAACTTCAGTATGAAACAATAATAAGACTAACAGTGTGAGCGACGGCCGGCTGGCCTAACCTTGAAAAAGACTTGCTTCAAGATCACTACGTCTGGTCCGTCGTCTTGGGGAGGGGCCGGCCGGGGCAACCTGGCTCTCCTTCATTGTAAACCAGCCTTGAAAAGATAAAAAAAAGATACTTGCATCATGGTTTAAAAGGATATTTGTATGTAAAAAAGAATTCGTAATTGTAGATTATTTAGAAACTGATGTAACAAGACTTCAAGGCTGATCTGTGAGATGCATTTACCGCACCTGTGAAGACTTATGCTGCCTTCTGTACCTATATGTGGATGTTGTTGTTGTTGTTAAAGATTCGCTACCTGGAACAAAGTTCCAAGTAGCACGGGCTATGGTGAGCCCGCAGCTATATGTGGAGTTCTTCTTTCCTCTCTCCCATCTACCCCTCTTTCTTATTCTTTTCGCCTCGTCTCCTGTTCTTTATCCTCCCTTCCCGTGTGTTTCCATTCCTCCACTTCCTGCCTTTCTCTAGACTTTTTCTTAGATTTCTTCCTCCTCCTCTGTATTCCAAATTGTTTTCCACTATTTGTTGTTCCTTATATTCACCAGTTCTCCTTCCACCTCTCCGTGGTTTTCCAGTTTCCTGCTTTTCTCCGCTTATTCCTAATCATTCTTTTTTTCCTCCATCTCCCTTCTCCTCTATCACCCTGCTGCTGCCTTTACTCCTCTTCCTCTTTTTTCCTTTGGCTATTACCTTTTTATTCTCATGACCATCTTCCCCCTCTTCTTCTGCTTCCTTCTCCTCCTCTTCTTCCTCCTCCTCCTCCTTTTCCTCCTCCTCCTCTTCTTCCTCTTCTTCTTCCTCCTCTACCTCCTTTTCCTCCCCCTCTTCTTCCTCCTCCTCCCCCTCTTCTTCTGCTTCCTCCTCCTCCTCCTCCTCTTTCTCCTCCTCCTTCTCCTCTTCTTCCTCTTTCTCTTCCTCCTCCACCTCCTTTTCCTCCTCCTTCTCCTCCCCCTCTTCCTCCTTCTCCTCCTCCCTCTCTTCTTCTGCTTCGTCCTCCTCCTCCTGCTCCTGCTCGTGCTGGTGGTCGTGCTACGCCATCGTGGCCGCCAGGGGTAAAGAGGCCATAGTGTGGAGGAGGCGTCATGAGGCAGGTCCCCCGCCACACTGTTGCCAGGGTGACTGTGACCAGGGGCCGGGGCGGCGCTGGTGACGGGGGGGGGGTGGGGGGGGGGTGGGGGGAGGGGGGATGAATGGGGCTACGAGGGAAAAGATGGGGGTTAGTGAGGGGCGTGATGAGGCAAGTTTTCTCTGTCAGGTCGTTGACATATACCAGGAAGATGAGGGACTAACTCCTGCGGGACACCGCTTCTTGCCTCTCTCTCCGCCACTCTCTCGTCTCCTCTCTTGTCTGGTTGTCTTCCTTCGTTATAGAGGTTATCTTGAGATGATTTCGGGGCTTTAGTGTCCCCGCGGCCCGGTCCTCGACCAGGCCTCCACCCCCAGGAAGCAGCCCGTGACAGCTGACTAACACCCAGGTACCTATTTTACTGCTAGGTAACAGGGGCATAGGGTGAAAGAAACTCTGCCCATTGTTTCTCGCCGGCGCCTGGGATCGAACCCAGGACCACAGGATCACAAGTCCCGCGTGTTGTCCGCTCGGCCGACCGGCTCCCTAGAGAAGAGTAGTTCTTAATTATTAGTGAGAATATTGTCAAAATGTTTAATAATTTATGTATACCGAGAATATGTATAGTTGTGGGCGTGTATAGTTGTATGTCGATATACCTCGTGTGGTATTGTTGTGTCTGTATACCGTATGTATGTATACCGCATATACATAGTATTTTTTCCTCAATAAGACCTTATATCATCGTTGTTTTATCTGAATTTACCTGAGGACCACTATCTCTATAGTAGCCTCGACGAGGACAGGAAGCCGGCGGGTTGTCAACGGTCCTCCCCCATTTGTCCTGATGATTTTGTCGAGCTGGATTTTGGAATTCATCAGTGTTTAGGTATTTACAACATTTGCTTCAATAAGACCTCACATCATTGCTGTTTGCGTGAATAAGTTCTCATACCGTGGCGTTTGCGTCAATAACACCGAATATTACCTTTACGTAAATATAAGAATCTCTAAATCATTGGAAAAAACAATATAGCTGTAGTGGACATAAAGGAATTCGGTAAGCTTGAGGTGACACTACATAGGTACACTGTAGGGTGCAGCCAGGCGGTGCTTCTCTGCTACAGTGAGAGGGAGGGATGGGGACGATTGTATTATGCATTATGAAGAGAAAGAGGGGGGGGGGGATGGGGACGAGACGCAGCCAAAACTCGTCCGTTTCAGAGATCAACAAGTCTCTCTCCTCTGAGGTTAACATTCCTAACCGGCCGAGTCGAGGTGCTCATCAGTTCGTCATTGTCTCATCAGAATGTTCATCTTCTCCTTGGCAGTGACATCGAACGCAGTCAAGTCTTATCCGAATTAATGATGGAGAAATCCCAATCTCAAGAGGTACTGGAGAATAATTTCAGTACGTCGTGTGAAGTGAGCTTTGTTGACGTTATGTATGATCTTAAGAACACTCCAGTGGAAGTACTGTATAGCCATTATGTGTTTGTCCGTGGCTAAGAGGTCGGTGGCGCCATACCAGGTAGACTTGAGAGTCGCGAGATGGTCCACACAGCCAGAAATCACACACTCAAATGCCATAAAGCACTCGTATAAATACTTATGAATCGTTTAGATCTAAAATCAGTATACATTAACAGCAAGACGTCCCGGAGGATGGACATCTGTCACCTGCGGCAGGTGGCTGCCGATGACGAGGCTTACGGTCCTAAGCACGTCACGTCTAAACTCTACGAGGCGACACTGGGTAGACACTCCCCAGTATTTAAATAATCTGTCATTAAGCCCCTCGTACGAGCCGCTATGAGGTACCCGGAGCGTTACAATGACTTTATCCAGTCCTGTATTCTTGAGAATATCCGCATACACTATCCACCAGTTGCACATACAGGCAGCTCATCACATGCCTCCTGTATGACTAATCATCCTGCATGATGCGCAGATGAATATCTCATCACCACCTCTTCACGCGAGCCATGTGAGGCTTCATATAGACCCGGGTAGCTGCGTGTATACCTAGGTACCTTATTAACCCAAAACAAGATGAGATGATTGAGAGGCTTAGGAAGCGAGGCGCTGGCTAAGTGTTGGAGTAGAGTGGTCGCTTGTCTCACACACTACTACCTCTCACCCAGGTGATGACCTTGGTGATGACCCAGGTGATGACCCAGGTGATGACCTTGGTGATGACCCAGGTGATGACCCAGGTGATGACCTTGGTGATGACCCAGGTGATGACCCAGGTGATGACCCAGATGATGACCCAGGTGGTGACCTAGGTGATGACCCAGGTGATGACCCAGGTGATGACCTTGGAGATGACCCAGGTGGTGACCCAGGTGATGACCCAGATGATGACCCAGGTGATGACCCAGATGATGACCCAGGTGATGACCCAGGTGATGACCCAGGTGATGACCCCAGGTGATGACCCAGGTGGTGACCTAGGTGATGACCCAGGTGATGACCCAGGTCATGACCCAGGTCATGACCCAGATGATGACCCAGGTCATGACCTTGGAGATGACCCAGGTGGTGACCCAGGTGATGACCCAGGTGATGACCCAGGTGATGACCCAGGTCATGACCCAGGTCATGACCCAGTTGATGACCCAGGTGATGACCTTGGAGATGACCCAGGTGGTGACCCAGGTGATGACCCAGATGATGACCCAGGTGATGACCCAGGTCATGACCCAGGTCATGACCCAGATGATGACCCAGGTGATGACCCAGATGATGACCCAGATGATGACCTAGGTGATGACCCAGGTGATGACCCAGGTGATGACCCAGGTGATGACCCAGGTGATGACCCAGATGATGACCCAGGTCATGACCCAGGTAATGACCTAGGTGATGACCCAGGTGATGACCCAGGTGATGACCCAGATGATGACCCAGGTCATGACCCAGGTAATGACCCAGGTGATGACCCAGGTGATGACCCAGATGATGACCCAGATGATGACCCAGATGATGACCCAGGTCATGACCCAGGTAATGACCTAGGTGATGACCCAGGTGATGACCCAGGTGATGACCCAGGTGATGACCCAGGTGATGACCCAGGTCATGACCCAGGTAATGACCTAGGTGATGACCCAGATGATGACCCAGGTGATGACCCAGATGATGACCCAGATGATGACCCAGATGATGACCCAGGTCATGACCCAGGTAATGACCTAGGTGATGACCCAGATGATGACCCAGGTGATGACCCAGGTGATGACCCAGATGATGACCCAGGTCATGACCCAGGTCATGACCTAGGTGATGACCCAGGTCATGACCCAGGTAATGACCTAGGTGATGACCCAGGTGATGACCCAGATGATGACCCAGGTGATGACCCAGGTGATGACCCAGATGATGACCCAGATGATGACCCAGGTCATGACCCAGGTGATGACCTAGGTGATGACCGCCCTGCTACACCACCACCCGACACTCAACCATCCACAGCCTCAGCACTGACGCTCTCCCACAGTACAGAGCTGGGAGAAAGTTTAGGAATTCACGAGATCAGAGAAGACTGGTCTAAGGTTGTGGAGACCTGAGGTGTAGGGAGGTGTAGCGGCGTATGTTAGGTCACCTCACACTCCCAGACACACTTATAACCATCTCCAAGTTCATCTTTACGGGCTCACCATAGCCCGTGCTACATGGACACTTCGTCCTGAGTAGCTAAATCTTTAACAACAACATTCATACACAAAGTGGCCATCTGAGGCACTTCAAACATAAGATGACAATGACACAAAAGTCTCTCCCACGCCTCTACCCACAAGACGCACAACTATGACACACCCAAATTGCTGGACTTAACAAGCACAAAAAATGTGTTGCTAATCACTACAACATCAACATATGCAACATGTGGTGAGGAGCGACGAAGAGCGGGAGTAGTGGAGCGTAGTGTGTGGCTCCCCCACCACCCAGAATTACGTCAGTGCTGTGTGTGTGTGTCAGGCTCGGCCGCCTCACTCCAGCAAAAACAGCCCAGGCGGCAACCACAACAACAGCAGTACCACCACAACATAAACACTCCCCCCCCCCTTCCTTCTTGTTATTGTTCTTCTCTTCCTCCTCTCTCTTCCCTTCCTCATCCTCCTTCGTTTATATTCCTTCTCTTCCTCTGGCAATGTAGGCTTCTCTTCTTGGTGAATTCTTTCGATAATAATTTTCTTCTCGCCTTTCCTACTAATGCCTGGGCAGTAGCCGTTATTCCTGACCTGGGTACATCATGACACTACCTGCGGATATAATATTTTAGTCCAACAACATTCATTCTACCTTCCTGGCAATCTACCACTTGTCCTGTAAAACTCTCTACGACTTAATGCTGCTTTCCCCTCACACTTTTCATCAGCATGAACACATTCTCAAGAGTAGCGTTTTAAGCTCTATTATTTTCCTGGTTGTTCTTAACGCTCTTCCTTCTTCCCTTCCCACTTGCGTATTCTAGGCCCTTTATGAAGACAATCTCACTCTCTCCAGTCGCGGAGATCATTGCTCCTTCATCCAACACCGAATCTAACTACCAATCCCTGCCCTTGTGTGGCAGTGCACAATAGAAAGTTGTTTTAACATATCCATACATTAAAACATTGATTGTAACCATGATATATATGTGCTTCCGCCTACAGTTTAGACCTATTGTCTTGTGTATGACCCTCTGTCCTGCGTGACAGTGAATACCAGCATTATCCTCACTTTAATAAGACTTAATCGAAATCCTCAGATTAGGCAAAATTGTAATTAATTTTGTCAATAAAGATGTTAATAATAAATAACCAATCGATAACGCGTCGTCTTGCGTTATAAGTAACGGCTTCAAGTTCTCTACCCAAGCCTTGTCATTCCTCATCTCTCCTCCTTGTCATTGTATGGAAGTCCACTTTTATTGAAGGATATTGTTAAACTCTGGGGGTTTATCTTTGGCCGCCACTTGTGCTCGTCGGCCCCAATCTCTCACCTCTGAACTGAGTGCTCGAAGGTCCTCAGCCTTCTTTAAGTCTTATATCATACTTCCTGAGGAAGGGAAGGGGGATTATCAGGGAGAAAATGCTGTTGTTGTTGTTGTTTTAGATTCAGCTACTGGGAACAAAACGTTCTAAGTAGCACGGGCTATGGTGAGCCCGTAGTGGACTTACCTGGCACAGGAGCTGGGCTGTAACTGGGGAAAAGTGCCAAGCCATTAAGACTATATAGCACTGGGAAGGGGTTAGGATAAGGATTAGGGTTGGGACGGGGGGGGGGGAAGGAATGGTGCACAACCACTTGGTCGGTTGGGAATTGAGCGCCGACCTGCTTGAAGCTCTACTGTCGCTCTACCGTCTAGGCTAAGTGCCTGGACACTTCCTGGGGTAGTAACTCCCTACGGCGCTGGAACCAATCGTATTGGCGTATGCCTTTCCATTGGAGACTTTTCTCCCCCGAATCAACCTACCCAGGCTTTGCGCCCTGGTGAGGCCACTCCAGACCGACAACCAGAGCGCAACTCCATAGTCTCCTGAGACTAATGGATGCCTACTACTAATACATGCAAACTCCTCCTTTCACACTCCTGGCTTGTGGTGTGTAAATAGGCTGTGGCTGGCCGGCCTACTCCTGCACCAAGACGCCGAAGGGTCTTCATCGACCCGTCGGTGTCTCGGTACGTGGGTTACGCCTTAACTCTGCTGCCTCTTGTACCCCCTATCCAGAGTTTATATTTTGTAACTGGCGTCCATCTTTGCAGGAGTCTCGTCACTGTTGTTGGTGTCGATACTTGACACGTTCACTACATCACCGCCACTCCTGCTCCAGCCGCGCTGTGACCACCTGAGGGCGCCTGTCCCCTCTCACTTCCTTCCTTTTACTATAAGGACGGCCCGCTTGCCCCAGACTGTGTCTCGGTACACGTGTGTCACACCTTCCCTCGTCTGCTTCCTCCCTTGACCCCGTGGAAGGTCACACTGTATACATTATGAGAGATCATAACCTATATGGTGAAGGTTTAGTGTCACTACCACCACTACTGCTAGTGTCACTACCACCACTACTGCTAGTGTCACT